GGGTTGCAATTACTGAAAGATATTTCATATATTTTAGCTACTTAGTTGTTTGTTTTCCAGTTTTTGACGAAGCCAAGTTAGCCCGGAACCAAAAATTATGCTCATAATAAACGTTCCGGGTTGCAATTACTGAAAGATATTTCATATATTTTAGCTACTTAGTTGTTTGTTTTCCAGTTTTTGACGAAGCCAAGTTAGCCCGGAACCAAAAATTATGGTCATAATAAACGTTCCGGGTTGCAATTACTGAAAGATATTTCATATATTTTAGCAATTAGTTGTTTGTTTTCCAGTTTTTGACAAAGCCAAGTTAGCCCGGAACCAAAAATTATGCTCATAATAAACGTTCCGGGTTGCAATTACTGAAAGATATTTCATATATTTTAGCTACTTAGTTGTTTGTTTTCCAGTTTTTGACGAAGCCAAGTTAGCCCGGAACCAAAAATTATGGTCATAATAAACGTTCCGGGTTGCATTTTGTTACGAAGCTAAGTTAGCCCGGAACCAAAAATTACTAAAGATATTTCATATATTTTTGCTACTTAGTTGTTTGTTTTCCAGTTTTTGACAAAGCCAAGTTAGCCCGGAACCTTCATATATTTTTGCTACTTAGTTGTTTGTTTTCCATTTTTTTACGAAGCTAAGTTAGTCCGGAACCAAAAATTATGCTCATAATAAACGTTCCGGGTTGCAATTACTGAACTTCCTATTTCAAGTTACCATCACGTGTAGATGTAGAAGGGGCGGGGGTGTTAGCTCCCCCTTAGTCACTTAAAGAATTTAGTTAAAACAATCGAATTAAATTTTGATCCACTCGCATACTCGCTTCCCTTAGTGTAGCTACTAGCGAGTATGCAAGCAAATCTAGCATCTAAAACCATATTCGAATACATGTTTTGTATAATCATATATGTGACCCCCCCAAAAAAAAAATCAGGTTTGGAGACGATTAAAGTTTTTATTTTCCTTATTTATTAAGAACATTTCTGAGTTAGTACTTCTTTATTGGGTGTATCCCTATTCCTTTTTTTAGAAGCATGTTTTAATTTAAGACTGACATGTTTAAGTATTTTTTTAAAATTCATTTTAATCGATTTCTATTGCATACATATATCTTTAGCAGATTAGTCCATTTTTATCCAAGTTTTGTGTAAAAAAAAGAGATTAATATAATAGAGTTATTTGTGTACAATCTAGTTTACATTTAGCAGAAACAGAAAAACGGAGCTACATGACAATATACAAGTAACTTTTCTTTCCATAGTTGTTTGTATTATTGGATAAGTATTTTAGAAAAGATATAAGGCATACATGTAACATCTTTTCTTGTTCTTTGTCCAAGTTGATCAACAAACTCTCTCTCTCTCTCTCTCTCTCTCTCTCTCTCTCTCTCTCTCTCTCTCTTCCACGAAGAGGAAGTCACCTCTATAAACTTTCTTTAATTTTTTGAATATGTGTTGTTTCTCTGCTGTTTTTATTATTTACATCGGCTTAAACCAATAAATGCAGCAGATTGGTTTAGATCTTTTGAATGTATCCCCCCCCCCTATCCCTCCGTTTTTGTCCCAATAAAAAACAATAAATTGTATATTTTTATCTACTTGGAAAGGGCTTGAATAAATCTTTTTTGATGTTTTAATCTTTAAATGCATACATGTCAATGAGCGCATTCTTATTAACTGTTCTCTCCATTTCTATTTGTACAGGTATATACATATATTCACACGGTATGATGTTCATAAATGGATTTAGTTCATTAAAGAAATCATTAATTTACAGTAAATAGTTGATTTATTTACACAAAAAACATTCTGAATTGTTTTCCTGACACCAGCGTTTCTTAAAATCACCTAAGATATGACATGTCCGCAGTCATCTTAAAGTTAGGACTAAGATTAGGAGGTCTCCTAAGATAGGATAGCTTCGATGGCCTCACTTAAGACTAAGATATGTCGTAAGTTCGTCTTAAGAGATGTCTTAGTCCTAAGATAGCTTCATAAGCATGCCTGCAGGTTTTCATTTTAAATTAAGATTTTACATTCCCATCGAGTTCTAGAGCGGAAATGCACGTTTTATCAGAATTAAAGAGAAACCTTTTCTTTTTTTCCAAATAATTATAGTTTTTGAAAGTTCGTAAAAAAAAAAATCTATTATATCTATAGGAAAAGTCATTCAAAGATGTCTTTTGAAAAATCAGGTAGGCGACAGAACAAACGTTCTGAGTGCGGTTGCCTTCCCCACTAAGACTCCTTTGTTTGTTGAACACATTCAACAAATTGTTATATATAAAATATAGAAAATTTTATACCAAGCAAATCAAGTTTTTTGTCTACTGTTCACTGCAGGGGAAGGGGGTGGGGGGGGGGGGGGGGGGGGGTGAGTGAGCAGACTTCACAATGCTATTCATATAAATAGTAAAATACAGATCTGTGTCTGTAATACATTTCTTCTTCAGTGTTATTTTTACTAATGAATACAAATGTACTTGTACTTACGTGCATAAATAAAAATGAGTTGAATTTTATTCAAACGTTTTTAGCCGTGTCATTGAAACATTTCCAAGTTGATCATGTGCATGTTTTGTTGACATATAACATTAAAATTTAAAAAAAAAAAAAAAAAAAAACTTCACCTGACGAAGAAAAATAATCAAAAAACGGGAAACACTTTTCCTTCGTATTAAATGCTTAAATTATAAATTCCCTTTTTAGATCCGGCATGCACTCGTTTCCCATTATGTTCTTGTATTTTAATTTATTTTATATTTGGTTTAAAAAAACGCAACTACATGTATGGGTGTTTAAAAAATTGTAAGGAAATTAAAATATTATACCTAATAATTAAAGTATTTTATGGTAAATATAATTAATCTATCACCATTATCATCTGATCAGGGTGGTCATGTGTGCTTACGGCGATTCGCAAGACTGAGCAATTATTCGTATCGATAGAAGCCAAGTCTATCGTAAAACAGCACGATGGGGGTATATCAATGTAAACAAGTTTCACACCTTCTTTTGTTTACAAAGAATCAAAATAATCAACTGGAATTTCATGGATTAATATAATATTTAAATCAGAGACATCAATAAATATATAATGTCTCTGGTAAAAAGACCGCATATTCTGACTTGAAATGTAAACACATATGTATGTCTTACGATTAAATCCTGCTGTATCATATACGAAAGTATAAAAGAAAGAAGAAAATTAAAATTAACAGCCAATATTAAATATAAATAGAGAGTTTAATAGGGTGCTTGGTTACCCGGAACGTTTTTTACGGCCGGAACCAATCTTACGCGGGCCGGAACGTTTATTATGGCCCGGAACCAATATTATAGGTATTTAGCGTTCCGGCCGGAACGCCAAGTTACCCGGAACGTATAATATTTCAGCTTCTATAAATTTTAAAATGTCATTAATTTCGTTTTATTTTGTTAAATGGTTGATATTTTCAAAGGGAGGTAACTCGCGTTTTAGACCAAGACTGTTTCTCACCTGTAATCGCTAAGATGCACCGCGACGGTGTGATTTACCTGGATTACTGAACCGCGGGGGCACGCGGTTTTTACCTGAGACACCTGTACTAACCGCGATGAGATTCACACCGCGGGGGTGTGCGGTAAATGCCTAAACCGCGTTGACTGTACTGTACATATGTAAACTGTTTGCATTTTATACATTATTTTTGCCTGCAAGTATACATTTCTTATAAAAATAATTTTAAAAAAATCTTATTATGTCTCAAACTTAATTACTAATATTTTTTTCAGATAGTTAGTATGTATCGAATTATGCAATTTATTATCAAAGGTAAAGGCATTAACCTGTTTCAATTTCTAATGGGGGGGAGGCTTTGATCAAAATCGAAAACATATAGTTTAGCTTAATTTACAGAAATACATGTACATGCACATGTACATGCAATCATTTTCTTACTTTCCAATTATGACTTATATCATTGAAATGTTGTAAAAACTAAAATTGATTTCTTGTAAGAATGATGCATATCTCCTAATCTCCTACAATACCCTATCAATCCATGCATTAATCCGTGCAAGTATTCATTAATCTATAATTTGTTTTATTCTGTACTTTGACGCACTTCAATATTACATTATATATGTTTGAGCACAGTGGACAATGTTTTTGCACCTGCGTAATGCTGCGTTGTCAAGGACTTAGTCCTGCGACTAAGAGTATATTTTACGACTAGACTTACGCCACTTGGTTAAACACAAATTACGCCCGACTAAATTTTGGCGTAAATCCCGGAAGTACGCCTAAGTTAAGGCTTAAATCTACGACCTCTGATGAAACGGGCCCCTGGTGTTTAAAAGAAAGAGACATTGCATAGTGGAAACACTGAACATATTTATTTCCGCTTAAATAGATTTCATTTAAAACATGATAAATAGCGTGCACCTTACTTATTAGACAATAGCTTCGTTATTTTAAGAGCGTGGTGTGGATTTTTACCCTAAAATTTGATTTCTAGACATTATATTTTTTTTCTTGAAACGCCATAAATCGATCACCTCTAAGAATTTTATTTTACCACATAAAGAATTCAAAGCCTGAATTCTAAAGTAAATCTCTTTTGATTTTGAGGTCAAAAAGTCAAAAAAGAAGGTAAGATATTCATTAATTCTCGAGATATCGCTTGGAGAATTAAGTGTTACAGACAGAAATACTAAAAGTGGTGTACAAAAAGGAGCAAACATCTGCTCATATGAGACAAATTATGAAGAATTAAACATTTTTTTTTCATATTCTTCTTTGATAATTGGATGCAACTTCATTGATGAATAATTTCAATCTTTTTGAGATGCATTGATTTGTGGAGATTTTACATAAAGTTTACATGTATATTTATATATGATAGTTTGTAATGATTTTAAGAGCAATGTCAAAGAAAATGGATATTTGAAATTGAATTTCCTTTCAAAAATAATTCAGGACAACCTTGATTGTTTGCCAACTTCTTAATGACTTACCTCCTCCGTAAACACATTATGAAGAACAAAGGCTAGTTTTTCTTTAGAGATGTCGGGTAATTTGAGGTCCTCTTTGGCTATTTCCATAATCTTATGAGAAAGCCCTGCGAAAGAATGATTTTGTACATACAGTAAAACTTCTCTAAACCGGCCAGCTGCAAGTACTTATTTAAAATGGCCGGACTAGAGGGTGGCCGGTTTCCTGAGAATCTAACATACTGAAGAATTCAAAAAAATTGTGACAGATGCTAGGAAAAATATATAATTGGTGTCAGTCATAATTATCTGTCGACTTTTATTTATTATCGGCAGACACGTAATGTATTCTAAAGGTTTTTAAAAAAAGCAATTATTATAATTGAGGATAAATTCGACATAAGTGCTGATTTTTATTTTTAAAAAAATCAAAAAAAGAACATAAAAAAACATGGAAAGTTACTTTTATAAACCGGTGCAAAGAAATAAACCATACCCTTTACCTTAACTAGACTATACATGTATACAGTATCCATGTACTGCATGTATCTTTCTATCGCTTACGTCATTAAAAATGTGTCAGTGAAAAGTAGGTAATTAAAACATTTCTCAGAAAAACTTCTCTTATTTTAAAATATGAAATGTATATTTTGATAATCATTTTATTTGATTTTCTTTTTTAGCATTTTTTAACAGTGTCCAATTCTGAAGGCCTCTTATGTGTATTTAAAAAGATGATGCAATATGGCGTGCGATAATTTGTTGATTCTTTCTGTGATTTAAATTCACTAGTTGCTCGAAATTTTATTAATTCAAGTTTAATTGATGCTTAATTAAATGTACACAGCTTAGACCGGCCATTTACGTTGTCTGGCAAGATGACTACCCCCTTCAAAACAGTTAAACAATAGAAAACCCTCAGAGGCCATTTCAGTTTTTCACACCTCTGACTTCTGGTGGGTAGGCTATTTTTCACACCTCCAGCCGGTCATTTGGCAATGACAGTTATATTTCTTGCAACAAGAAGTGGCTGGTGTGATGAGGGGAAATTTACTATGTGTCTTAACTTTTGTTCTTGGAAAAGTGGCTGGTGTCCGGTTTTCAGGGGTGGCCGGTTTATGAGAGTTTATGTGTAAAGAAATGTTAAGAATTTTTCCGGGACTTATAAATTCGGCCGATGTTCAGGGAGAACCGGTTTCCAGGGGGGCGGTTTTGAGAAGAGAATGATTATTCAGTAGGAGTTATTTATTTTGTTATGGTAAATTTACCCAGAAGCATTAGATTTAAGTCTGAAAATGTAATAATTGCTGGATTAATACCTGCTTTCAAAAAAGAGCCACATAGTATCAATAGTTTTTTAGATCCAATTGTTAATGAATTACAAACACATTGGAAAGGAGTCAGGTTAGACACAAGTTTGTTTAATTCTTCATCTGTTTTTCGAGCAGCTCTGCTCTGTGTGTCTTGTGATATACCAGCTGCTCGCAAGTGTTGTGGATTTAAATCACACGCTGCACGTTTGGGTTGCCATAAATGTTTAAAAGTCTTTCCTGGTGACTTTGGGGAAAAAAGAGACTATTCAGGTTTTGACAGGCAGAATTGGAAACCCAGAACAAAATATACTCATAATTTACATGCCAGAAGGGTTAAAAACGCAACAAGTAAGACACAGGCGGATAAACTTTCTAGGGAATATGGGACTTATTATAGTGTGTTAATAGAGATGGAATATTTTGATGCAATACAATTTTGTGTTATTGACCCAATGCACAACCTCTTTCTTGGAACGGCAAAAAAAATGTTCAAACTTTGGGTTGAAAGTGGCAAATTGTCCCCGTCAAACTTGGAAACTATAGAAGAAAGACTAGAATCTCTAAATTCCTTAACTGACATAGGAAGAATTCCCACTCATATTTCTGGAAATTATGGTGTATTTTCTGCAGCTGAATGGAAAAACTGGACAACCACATTTTCACTCTATGCTTTGTGTGGAATACTACCAGAGAAAGATTACAAATGTTGGGAAAAATTTGTATTAGGTTGTCGTTTTCTATGCAAACCATTTCTAACTCTCACTGATATTCAGAAAGCTGATCTATTGTTACTTGACTTTTGCAAAACTTTTGAAAAGATTTACCCATTAAAAGAAGTCACTTGTAACATGCATCTACATAATCATTTAAAAGATTGCTTGTTTGATTTTGGTCCCATGCACGTTTTCTGGTGTTTTTCTTTTGAGAGGTATAATGGGGCTTTTGGACACTTTCATACAAACAATAAGGCAGTAGAAATTCAATTCATGAGAAAAATCATGACTTCAAAATTCTGCGATAACTTTAAAGATGTCGTGCTGTCAACTACCGAGGTTGACTTTTCTGAAGTATTCTTCAATTTCAGTAAATCTTTGTCGGAAAAGTTAAAGATAACAGATATCGTAAGGTTTCTAAAAACATCTGAAATTGGGGCTGACTTCCTTTTTGATGAAGACTTGATGTCTTTTATTTCATTACCTAAGGTTTACAAACTGGCTGCACTTGACAAAGAAGACATTGTGTATCTCATGTCTTCATACAGGAAAATGTTTCCTTCTGTGTCTCTCAATATTGATAATATGGGTGAAATTATTAAGAAGTTTGGATTGATTACAATATTAGGTGAAAATTTTGGATCAAAACAAATTAACAGAAAATTAAGGTCATCAGATGTTTTAGTTAATTGGACAACTGAAAAAACAACTTTGAGTGCTCTCCCCTAGAACTACGTCCATGTAGGGTAGATTTTTATTTCTCTCACACAGCTTTGATTGATGGAAAACATATTACAAATATTTTTGAAAAAGTTTCATGGTACAAAGAATATTCAGAAAGATACAAGTACGGAAATGCACTTCAATTGTGGCACAGCAACAAATTTGAATCCGTAGTCGATAACTGTTTTCTTCCCATTCAGAAGATTCATAGTAGATTCTCAAAGGGACTTACTGGTGTGGGAAAGGATCTTATGTGTATATGTCCTATTCCTAGGAGAGTCCTTAGTGACATAGATCATTAGTGGTATCAATAAAATTGTGCAAGTACATATGGCATTGTTTTGGTACAAAGTATTAGGAGTAGAAACAAATTTAGCTGATATATTGTCACATTGTTTTTTTTTTTAGATTACATGTGAGCCAGTTCTGTTGGAGTAGAATCAAGTTCGCTTGATGTTCTACCGTGTCGTAGAGCTACTCCAGATTTTTATAATGATAGTGATAGTTTTTTTTTAGATTACATGTGAGCCAGTTCTGTTGGAGTAGAATCAAGTTCGCTTGATGTTCTACCGTGTCGTAGAGCTACTCCAGATTTTTATCCTGATAGTGATATTTTTTTTTAGATTACATTACATGTGAGCCAGTTCTGTTGGAGTAGAATCAAGTTCGGTTGATGTTCTACCGTGTCGTAGAGGTACTCCAAATTTTTATCATGATAGTGATATTTTTTTTTTAGATTACATTACATGTGAGCCAGTTCTGTTGGAGTAGAATCAAGTTCGCTTGATATTCTACCGTGTCGTAGAGCTACTCCAAATTTTATCATGAAAGTGATGGGTTTTTTTTTAGATTACATGTAAGTCAGTTCTTTTGGAGTAGAATCAAGTTTGCTTGATATTCTACCTTATTGTAAAAACTATTTCAGTTTTGTATTAGTTTTAAGTTGATTTTTTTCACTGATCTTACATGTTCTAAGTTATTCTTGTTGAAATTAATTGAAATTTACCTTGTAGTGCTTTTTTAGTTATTTATATATTAAATTGTGTTGTGTAGAGCTCTTTTTTATTATTAAAAATATTCTTTTTGACAAATAATCCACATTCACTTTTTTTATACTTGTTTTTTTTAAATCATGTTGTAGATTATTTATGTTTTATATCAGTCTTAATCTGTATTAGATTTCCTATTTTGATTTAGGCAGATAAGCACTGACCCTAAGACCATAAACTTAGAATAGACTTCTAATTTTGATATTTCATATTTTGAGTTTGGTTGACATATTAGCTTAAAATTTTGCAATTTTTTATAACAGTAAAAATCAAATTTATGATTTTATTTTTGTTTCCTTATATTATCAAATTATTTTCAAAAGTTATACATGTACTAGTTTTACATTTTGACATAAGTCTGTTATCAGTTTATGGTCTTGGGACCTTGTCATATTAACGAAAGAAAAAATGAAGAAAATGTAAATCAGAATCATCATGTAGAATACAACATATTTGCTGTGTTAATGTGTAATTTTATAGTTTGATATTTCAATGATATTAAGTAAACATATACCAGGTGGTTCAATGAAATAAAATGTTGTAAATGTGTAAAGGTTTTCCTTCTTTCATTTCTTCAGCGGAATTATAAAAAAAAAGCTGTGATAGATGTACATGCTTATTTAAATACATTTTTATGAGCTATATATGCTTTATACAGTGTACCTTCAGATATCTAGATGCCAGAAATCGGAATGCTTCAGTTTCCAAATGATTTTTCATTTGAACAGAATTTTTAAAACATTATTTTGTCAAGTTTAACTGGTAAGTCAGTTCATCCAGATGCTTCACATATCTGGACAAATTACTTAAGAATCAAAGCGTCCGGATAACTGAGGCTCCACTGTATTAAAAAGCATTCAAAAATAGAAACACAGCATGAAGCTAGTTTCTAAGCAAAAAATAAACTTGACCGAGAAAATATTATTTAACAAATATTATTTAACAAAGACTATGAACACTCTTTTAGACAGGTCATGACAGAAATTAATTGTGTTGGTAGACAATCACACGTTTAAGGAAAAGGAATATTGACAGCAATGTTCCTGAAACATGCATAAAGAGTAAAGCAATTTGTCTAATTTTAGTTGAAACCAAGTTAACCTACATTATATATTGACTAAAAGTATCAAGCCATATTGAATTCTAGTTTTTTGATGACTGAAGGGTCACGGAAACTTGACCAGAAAGGAAACTGAAATTTTGAAAATTTGCTGAATGTTGAACTGAAATGTCACTTAATGTGGATTGAAAAATGACAAAATGTAGCTGAAAGGTTATTGAACATTGGCTGGAAAGGTCACTAAATTTTGACT